TTTTATCCAATATGTTAATTTGTCACAAATACCTTCTAATGACAGGCAGATAAGCCGCTCTCTCTCCACACAGATGATTTCTTTGTGTTTGTCTAGTCTTTGGTCTTCAGTCTCAACATAGCGTTTATGTATGTTTGGAAGGAGGCTGAGCTGCTTTATTGTCAATACACTGACAATTTGCACTCCAGATATGTGTGTTAAAGCAGCTCTTAGATAATTGTTAGTATAAAAAAGATGCCAAGATGTTAAAAATACAACTTCCCAGAAAATGATCAGTATTGATAGTATTATGTCTATAAGAAGTAATTTGATATTGCTTAATCTATAAATTTTAACTGTCTAATGTTTCTCAAGATTTTTTTAACACCATGTTCTCTTTTTCTGTGTTGCTGCAGTGAAATTTGTCCAAAAATTCAGTTTTTCAACGTTGCTTATTTTTCTAACAAGACAAGTTAAAAACTCACTTAAATGATAACAGGAGGAAATCTCAGATCTTTAACAGGATACAAAAAAGAACACAAAAACCCCCACTCATAAAAGCTGTGGTTGAAAAGCTCATACACTGAAAATCACAATAAATGAGAGACATTCACACATCTTGACAACAAGTCCTCCCTCTGTGGCTCTTCAGCGGTTATTCTGCATAGAAGCTCTTAATTCACCTGACTTTATGAACTCTGGCATACAAGCAATCGTCTTCTGTAGGTTCAGTGTGCTGAAGCGGCTTTGAAAAGTGGAGTTGGCCATACTCCACCTCTGCCTCCACCTGTCCTGTTTGCTCCACTCGCTTCTCCTGCTGTTTCATGACCTCTAGATTAGCATATGTTACTTCGTGCTCACCTTCTTCATCTGCAAATGAGCAAGAAATGTGAGAAATTGTGAAACTTCTTTGCTTTTTTGATAGGAGTGAAATAAAAATGTTCACTGTCGTGTCTGCTGTGGAAACAGCTGTTTTGTTTTAGCACAAAGACTGGAGACGATGTGAAATGGTTTGTCTGACTCTGATCAAAGTTCACACAAAAATGTAGTTTATCTTTGGAGAGAGCCGTTTCTCCTTCTTTGTAGTTATTGTATTAAAGTTAGCTGATCAGCAACAGCCAAAAATGACATTTACATATAACAAATGCATCAATAAACTCAACCTAAAACAGCAAAAACATTTATTAAACAATGTAAAATAATGATGTATATTTAACAACAACAAAACAAAATCCAAAAGATACACTAACCCGAGCAAGTGATTGAGGAAAAAATAAGTTTTGTACTTTTTGGTTTAGTTGGTCTGTAGTTTTGCGTTTTCCTCTGAGCACAGATGAGCGCTACACCCACAGCTAAGTAAATTACAGCTGCTGAGAGAACAACACCGACTAGTGGGAAATCTCCTGTTCAAAACAAACAAGACCACAAGTTGGCAAACATACAGTATTTTCTTAATGAAAAGGACAAGAAGGAAGAGGAAAATTACACACATAGATCTACAGAGTTTTTATTTTCCACTTACTAATGTTCCATGGGTCATCACTGCTGTTAGTGGAGTGTTTCTTTGACACTATGCTGGTTTGTGTAGACTCTATTGTTTGTTCTTGTGTAGGTTGTATGGTTGGTTCAATACACAGAGTGTAATTGTCTTCATGCACCCACCCTGATATCTGTGTCCCATTGACTAAGGTGCAGTTAATGAAAATGAAGCCTATGAGTAGAAACATATACTTGATGAAAAACAGAATGACCAGAATCATTAAACTTGTCATTGTCACAGTGTTCTCACTCACCGCAGGTAGATATCCTCTTTTCTTTGGAGACATTACTGACGTTGTTCCTGACTGAGCAGACCAGATGCCCTGAGACGTGCTGTTTCAAAGTGATGATGTTAGTCTCATTATTTACAGAAAGAAGCTCAGCATCTGTCAGTGTGCGTCCATCCAGAGTCCAGCTGTACTGAGGACTGTCCCCTTCCTCAGAGGAGCAGGACACCCTCATCTCTCCCAGGGACAGACACTCAGAAACCAGCAGGACAGAGGACACAGGAGCTGAGAGAAACACACACAGATGAGTTTATATGTTAAATCAGAATCTTGATCATTCTAAAGTATAAAGAATAACATATAGGCATCCAAAATTTTATAAGATATGCTTTATAGATTAAAATTATAATTTAATTTATAGATGAATTCATAACTTATAATGTTAACATTTTCCAACAGGGAAAACATTACCTTGAATAAACAACTGTAAAGTCCACACGTCTGATATTCTTCCATCTGAATCAAAGGTTTGAAGGGTATAATTACCACTGTCATTCCTTCTCAGATTATTGATCCTGAATGTTCTATAACTGGAATTAAGGGCAGAGCTCCTTTCTGTGATATTAGGAATCACCTCATTATTTCTTACATGTAATATTTTTAATGAATTCTTTAACAACTGGTATCTCGACATTTCTGAAGTGCTGTTCATCAGCTGGATGTCCACAGTTCCTCCCAAAGCTCCATAACACTGAACTCCATCCTGTCTGCCATCACAGTGAGTTTCCACACCTGCAAATAAAACAAATGTAAAAAAACATAAATTATTATTTTAGGCGTTCAAATAGTACTTTTTTGGTTATTTTCTATCTGTTTCAGTGCCAGAGGAGAGATGGTGGCTTTAATGGACAAAGGGTCTTAAATATAGAGCCTTATGCAGGAGGAAAAGAGGAAGACCTTAGAGAACATTCATGCAGAGGGTAGGTGTGACAGAAGAGGATGCTGTGGATAGGGTGGGATGGATGCTGTGGTGACCAAGCTGAAAGAAGAAGAGAAGTTGGAGCTGCTTCTTAGTAAGAATAATGAAACTCGTTTTTTGGCTGTATGATGTACAGCTTCTACCTAGCTTCAAAGCATATTGTTGAAACACCGTGAGGAGAGCTGAACAGCTTACCATGGGAGACTACAAAAACATAAATAGTCCATCTACAGCATCTATGCATGCTCACCATTCAGCCTCTGCTGATCCAGTCAGCAGCTATCAAACTTCAAACTCATCAAAAGAAATGATCAACTTCAGAAATAAGTTTAGGTGACAAAATTTAATAAAATAAATGATTTTTCATTGCCCTTCACAGTCAAATAACACTAATACTAATACTAAAACTACTACTACTACTACTACTACTACTACTACTACTAATAATTATAATACATTTTCAACCTCTACATAAGATTTCAGATTACAGAAGAATATATAAAAAATTTGAAATTGTACTGTTGGAAATACTAACTCTGTCAGGTTAATCTTTAACGGCTTGACAAGAGTTCAGTTTGGATATTTAACAGTCAATGTTTACAAAAATTAAATATCAGGTTTTTATTTCTTTTTTCTTATATTCCACTAAAACATTAACACAATACACAATGCAGCTACGCTAATTTTGAGCTTTTATTGTTTCATTTTAAAACTTAAGCATTTTAGAAATAACACTACTTTCAAAAAATCTTTTCTACAAATGATGGCACCCTCTAGTGGTGAATAATAACAATGCTACTTCAGACTTCATTGACAAACTTTCACACCTTTGTTGCATTTCTTACACTTACCTTCCTGTACTGTCATAATTCAGTTCTGTGCATTTTTATTTTTATAGCATAAAATCACAAAATATGCCACCTGCACAAAGATGAAGGCCTCGCAACATTAGAGAAACCCACTATTAACATATTAAACTGCATTCAGGTATATTACTCTGTTTCACTGACATGATCCGTGGGCTAACAACCCTCACGACCACCTTTGCTGGGATAGCCACCATCAGGGGTTTATTATATAGGAGTCTCCACCAGCTGTTCTAAAACTGAAGGAACATTTTGGATGAGAGGCGAAAAAAAACTTAAAGAAGACCATTTATTTTATTTTACAATGACCTGGGTGGGCAGTACAATGGCAAGTGTTTCATTGTATACTCTGTTGTAATAGCAAAATAAGCTATATCTGATTTAAAGAATTCAATTTTCTAAAAGCAGACATCACTGATGGGGTTCATTTTATACTCCTGTAAGTTTTTAAAGTTTTGTGTAATGTTTTGGGTGAATGTTTGGTGGCTTTCACCCAGTGCCATTCAGGATAGGATGAGTTACAGTCTTACATTTTTGTTTTATTATAGTTTTATTGGATGATGTGAAAATGTGCTCCAATACTGGACTTGATAACACAGCTGGTACATGTGCAGCATACTATAACAGACTGTTTATTGGGGGGGGTTGATTTTTCTATTTAATCACAAGGCAGCTTTAAGACAAACTCCTCTACTTAACACAGATGTAAACTTGTACAACCTACACTGAGCATGTTTCCTGTTAGTGATCAGTTTCAGACAAGAACACGTAAATTTAGACCAGACAGGAAGTAATTACTATTACATTTGACATCTGCTTTCAGTATCTTAGTATAAACTACTTAAAGCAGTTGTCAGTACTCAATATCATCTCATTGGTACTAAGAATTCCAACCAAATATTGAACTCTCTTTGTCCAACTTAAAATCATCTGATTCATTCCTGCTCTACATTCAGGTGAAAATTTTATATCCTTCCAATTTTGTTTTTGAAAATAATATTTTTCGCAGATTGTGTTAAACCTCAACACTGAAATCATGGCAAAAGAAGAAAACATTAGCAAGATTGTTTCCACTTTTTCTATTAAGACAGTTGATATGGAGAGTTCAGTAGCCAAGATGAAAAGCTAAACTTTAACATATAAAAATCAAAATGGATCTAAAAGTGACATGACAACATGACAAAAAAGTATGCAAAAAGTAAGTTGGTTTTGTGTAGCAGAAACAAAGAGAAAGATACAATTGATTCGGAAATGTGTGCACAACCTGCCATGGACTAACAACCTGTCTAGGATGTACACCACGTTTACCTCTACGAAAAGCCCTGCTTGAGAAATAGATGGATGTATGAGATGCATGGGTACATTTTTTTCTTTTTACTGAATATGGAAATGCATTTCAGTATTTTAGTATTTGAGATAATTTTTTAATTATCAATAAAGGATAATTTATAACTTTTATGCGCACTTTTATGTGCACTTCGTCTTATTTCTGCAAAGCAAGTGATTAATCATTTAAAATAAAATTTTAGTGGAAAAACCTTAAAAAGCTCACCATAAGAAACTCTGACCAGCAGCACCAGCAGTCCCACCACAGCTTTCATGACTCCTCTCTGTTACGTGTCTGTCACCCAGTCAGCAACAGCCTGCAATGCATCTTATTAGAGATCGCCAACAGAGGAGAAAGAGTGAAAACTTCAACCAATAAGAACATTGTTATACTCATCTTTATTTTTCTCTGAGGTGTAACTGAGGGGCTCTCATTTTGCTTTCACTTTCATCATACCATAACTGGACATTTCTGAGCTGAGGAGAAGAAACCGATCCTTATAAGTACTCAAACAGAGAGCTGTTCTTTGTAAGACGATGCATCTCTTCTGCATATGTTTAAACTGTTAGCAGTCGGACGTACCGCCCACGGGACATTGGATGGTTTAGGGGACTAATAGGACTGCTAAGGGGTTAAAGTGTGTCGTCACCTTAATAAAGACTTTTATGAAGTCAAAACTCACTATCGTTACAGTTTTGGCCAAAGTTTGTGTTTTATACTTGTTGCTTCAGTTTTCAATTAGATTGTTGTTTACATGTTTATGATATAGTGACAATGATCTTTGACTTTTATTTAAAAGCTAAAGGCAAATAAAATGTTGCAATCTGTTAAAATATATTAATAAGTCACCATATGTATTTATATATGTACACATATACACATGAAACAGAAAAAGAAAGCGAGAGAGAGCAAAAGAGTATCACTGATACTTTTTAAGACCTCTGGAAATCCTGGCGAATATTTGCTAAATCCTGCTTTTAAACGAGAAAGCCTGGCTTCTTAGGAGCCAAAATATAAAAAAGGGGAATGACACATGACTTTTGTACATTAGTTTTTATTTAGCATTATGAGTTGTTGTTTTTTTTTTCATTTTACAAATTACAGGTTGTATGATATAAGCCCCATCCATCTGTCTATTTTCTATTATGACATGTATCAGACTGTGTCAGAGTTTTTGTCTGTAATGTATTGGAACTATAGCCAGCCTGACTTGGCACCTCTGGAGTTTTGATGACCTGCACATCTCAAATCAGGCTGTGCCGAGTCCATCAAGAGAATAGTTAATTGGCAGAGTTCTGCTGTATTGAAGTTTGCTTTTGTAGGTCATTAATATGAAATTAGATAAACACTGAAAGGCACGTCTTTACTGATAATACACCATTAGCATCATATTTATTGTCCCGGAGGGCCTGGAGACTATCCCAGCTGTCTTAGGGCGAGAAGCAGGGTACACCCTAGACAGGTTGCCAGTCTGTCACAGGGCATGAATCTGATCACTAACAGGACAGCTACAAACTGGCACAACCTGTTTGTAGCTGTGCAAAAGAAGCTCAGTTGAGAGCTGCCTGCTGAGTTGACAAAGAGTGAATAGTGATGAAGCTTTGTTTTGTCTGTATGTCATTCAATTAGCAGTCTCTATTATACCCTCACTGGCTTGCTGAGTGGAAAAGATGTTTAAATGCATGCCACCAGATGGCACTGTTCCTCCTGTAGTGCTCCTGTGAGGGCATGGATGCTGGGAAACTGTGCAGAGACAATCCTTATCATTATTCTACTTTTTAAAGTACTGGAATATGGATATTTATTAAGTCTCAAAAGCTCTTTTTTTATATGGATGATGAATGATTTCCTCTCTTCCTCTTAGTCACACATGAATTAGCTTTCTTTTTGAAGGCGTGAATGATGCATTTCAGTCACAGTGATGCCCTCTGCACACAAACAAATGCATCTTTACAAAAACACAGTCAGACAGGCTGAAACCACAAAAGTACAAGTTCTGCTTTGGGTAAAAATATGCCAATATTACCTTTACATGATGACAATTGTGGTTTTGTTTACTTTTGTTTGTAAATTAGGAGACTTCTTGTGATGGCTGACAGGATTGGGATGAAGTGTGAACATTTACCTAGAATTCTTTAAAAAAAAAAAGTTAAAGAATTCATTAAAAATACTGGATTTAAGAAATAATGAGGTTATTCCTGATATCATAGAAAATAAATCTCTTTTTATCCCCCAGTAATGGAACATTTAGGATCAGTAATCTGAGCAAGAATGACAGTGGTAAATATTAATGTAAAATCTTTTATTCAGTTAGAAAATCATCAGTCAAGTTTAACATTTAAATTAAACACTGTTTAAAAAAAAAAAAAAAAAATCTCATCTCTATCTATCTCACACAATACCAGATGTGTATTTTGCACTTTCGCACTTTTCATTAACGACTAAAGAAATCAGATCAAAAGACATCTGGGTGTGTTTCTCTCAGCTCAGGGTACAGGATGATTGTACTGTGGGAACACCAAGTGGCAGAATAGTCATTCACATATTCACATTCAAATATTTTGGTGATAAAATAAACGGGTGGCTGTAGCAGACCTGCTCTACCACCTGTAGCTCAGGTGGTAGAGCAGGTCATCCACTGATCGGAAGGTTGGTGGTTTCGATTCCTGAGCTTCCCCTAGTCTACATGCCAAATATCCTTGGGCAAGATACTAACCCCCAAATTGCTCTCGATGCATCCATCGGATAAAGTGTGTGAATGTTAGCTATGAAGCACTTAGTGCGAATGGGAGTGAATGCACAAGTTGTGTAAAGTGCTTTGAGTGCTCAGATGAGTAGAAAAGTGCTATATAAGAACCAGTCCATTTACCAAAACAAATATAAGATCCAATAGATGTTCTGTTGTGATAGAGAAGTGCAGTGAAAGTAAAGAAGATCCATAAATCAATATATATGAGCTTTGATGGTTTGTATTTTTCTGAAGCATCTTGACATCACTGTCTCACTCTGTTGTGCAGTATGTATAAAAGCAATGATCACTCAAATCATCAGATTTTTGAACATTGGCATACAAACAGTCATCTTCTGTAGGTTCAGTGTACAGAGGTCGCTTTGAAAACTTGACTTGGCCATACTCCACCTCCACCTCAGATTTTTGCTCCATTTCCTTCTCCCGGTGTTTCATCACCCTGACATCAGCGTAGGTTACTTCCTCATCATCTTCTTCATCTATATTGTAGCAAGAAGGAGTAACACAAACATAGTATTACAGTGACCGAGTAGTTTGACTTTTCACAAAACTTAGATCGTGAAGGACCTCAGCCATCCCAACAACAGACTGTTCTCTCTGTTGAGGTCAGGAAAGCGATTCCGCTCCCTGAAGACCAACACAGAGAGACTGAGGAGGAGCTTCTTCCCGCAGGCGATACGGTCTCTCAATCACACCACCACACAGTACTGACCCACACATATAGTTCTTACACACACACTGGACATTCTGGACATTGTTTTCACTTCATCACTTAAATCACTTTAAGCATATTTGCACTGCACAAGACATAATGTGGATTGCACAACACTGGTCACTATATTCTTCATTTCCAGTTAATACTTGTACAGCTGCTGTTATTGTGTATATATTTATTTATATTTCTTCATACATTCTTATATAGTTCTATATTGTGTATTTTGTTGTACAGTTATTTTATTTTCAACTTTAATTTATATATTTTATCTTATTCTTTCCCAGTTAAATTTACCCTTCATTCTAATTTGTGTTGTACAGTTATTTCATTTTTAACCTTAATTTATATTTTATTCCTTCCTAGTTAAATTTACCCTTTTTAATTTTTCATATTTATTTCCTATCTTATTCATAGCCTTTTCCTTTTTTTTTTCTTTAGGTCACGAGCAGTTGTCTAAGCATTTCACTGCATATCGTACTGTGTATGACTGTGTACGTGACAAATAAAAATTTGAATTTGAATTTTATTTTTTATAAGATTTAAACAAAAATGCTCAGTCCTGTTTCCTCACATTTCTCGTTACTGTATTAAAGCCAGCTGATAAATGATGGACTCAAATTTTACTGACATATGCCAGAATCATAAACTCTTGGCAGCAAATCAAAAATGTAGAGGTAGAGGCTGGTGAGAAACAATATTTGTGTGTATTTCTGTAAATACAATCAAAATGATATTAAACCTTCTTGAATCTTAGAAAAAAATGTAAGAAGGCAGTCTGTGCTACATGAGTAAGAACAACAGGAATTTTCTTACCTTTTTGTTTTGTAGGTTTGTTGTTTTGCTTTTTTCTCTGAGCCCAGATGACTGCTACACCCACAACTAATAAAATTAGGAACGCTAAGAGAACAGCACTGATCAGTGACAAAATACCTGTTTTAACAGGACACAAAACCAAACCATTCAGAAAACACCTTTTTTTTATTAAGAAAGAACAAATTCGAAAAGAACATTAACGGATCTACTGTAGTAGAATAAATTTTCACTTACTAATGTACCACAGCTGAGCACTGCTGAAAGCTGGACTGAGGATATCATTCGGGTTTTCAATTGGCACTCTGTCAGTCCCTTCAGTCACAGCAGTTTGCGTGATCATTTTAGGGTCTCGTGTTAGTTGTGTTGTTGGTTTAATACACAGGGTTTTATTGGCTTCATGCACCCACCCTGATATCTGTGTCCCATTGACAGAAGTGCAGTTAATGAAAATGAAGCCTGAGAGCAAAACAAATTATGTATGTAAGACAAAGTGACCAAATGATCATATTTGTGATTATCACAATGTTCTCCCTCACCACAGGTAGATATTCTCTCCTCTTTGGAGACATTACTGATGTAATTCCTGACTGAGCAGACCAGACGTCCTGAGACGTGCTGTTTCAGAGTGATGATGTTAGTCTCATTATTTTCAGAAAAGAGTTCAGCATCTGTCAGTGTGCGTCCATCCAGAGTCCAGCTGTACTGAGGACTGTCCCCTCCCTCAGAGGAGCAGGACACCCTCCTCTCTCCCTGGGACAGACACTCAGAGACCAGCTGGACAGAGGACACAGGAGCTGAGAGAAACACAGATGAATTTTGGTAGTAAAACAGGATCCTGGTCATTTCTTGTTATTTTAATTGAAGAACATATATGCTGCTATTAGATGTATATCTATTCTTAATCTCCGAACAGGGAAAATAATTACCTTGAATAAACAACTGCAAAGTCCACTCGCCTGTTGATCTTGCAGCTGCATCAAAGGTTTGAAGGGTATAAATACCACTGTCATTGCTGCTCAAGTTGTTGATCCTAAATGTTCCATTAACGTGGAAAATGAGAGATCTGTGTTCTATGGTATTAGCCTGAACTTGTTTGTCTGACACATATAGTAGTACTAATGAATTCTTTAAATATTTGTATTTATGTATTTCTGAGGTTCCGTTCATCAGCTGTATGTCTATACTTCCTCCCAAAACTCCAAAACACTGAGCTCTATCCTGTCTGCCATCACAGTGAGTTTCCACACCTGCAAAAAAGAAAAAAAAATTAAAGTCAAGAAAATAAAAAAAATAATATCACAGTTTTGAGAGCTCAGTCTCTGTTAGAAGGTAAACATTTGCATCTGCAGCATGCAAGTGTTAACCTAAATCAAAAATAGCACTTTTGTGGCTACTGTGTGTCTGTCTCAGTTCACAGTATGCAAATCATTTAGTATTTGCAGATACATTATACAGGTTTGTCACTGAAAGACAGTAAGGTTTCAGCTGATTTGTCTTTTGTAGAACAGCTGCTGTAGCTTTAGTATTCTGTTGTCAATGTTTAAAATGCTGCAATTCATCTGTGCCTTTTTACAACAAAAGAAAAGAAACGAAAAAGAAAAAAAAAAGCTCAGTAATTATAAAATTGTTTATAAAAGAAGTTGTTACCTTCGTTTGTGAAGAAGACCCTAATAATTTTAAAATGATTCAAAATACCTAATATTAAAATGTGTATTTTTGCCAGCATAGTGCTATGTCCAATCTACTTTTTGATATGCATATTTATATTTAAATAATATTTAATCAGTTTGTCTGCATTTACTTTACTTAAATAATATTGCAACTGTTAATGTGTTTAACAAGCCCTCAACTGAAAAAAAAATACATGTTTCATTAGCTGTAGTGGATCCCGTAGCCACAAAACATAAATAAAATATAGAAGTTAACATTGAGGCACCACATGGAAAAAGTTTAGTAGCTCACCATGAGAGACTCCGAGCAACATCAAGAACAGTTTAAATACAACTTCCATGTTCTGCATTTTTATCTCTTTGTCTCTTAAGCGTGAACAGGTCTCAATATATCCTGTTAGTGATCAGCCTCAGAGGAGAACGTGTGAAACTGTTGAGGTGAGGTTTTACTGAAGTTAAAATTATCTTTTCATATGCTGAGAGGAAGAAAGAAAGAGGTATCAGTTTTTCTTCCTCTTTTAGCCTTCAAGAAAAAAGATAATCCAGATGTGATGGACTGAGAGGGAGAGGGAACAATTTGTCATTCACGCTAAACAAGGTTTGATTAAGACAAAAAGTAGTCAAGTGTTAACAGAAAAATAAATATTTACAGAAATAAATTTACATGAGAGAATAATCATAAGCTACATACAGTTAAACCAAACTGGGCTTGAGTGTTTACCATTTGATTTTAACCTAAACGTCAAAGTAATATTACCATGTCAAAACTATTTCTTTAACTATTGGCAGCCCCTAGTGGTAAAGAAGTTTCTTGTTGTTACAGCATTAACTTTCACTGGATATAAGGGGCTGAGCTGAACTCCTAACAAACAACCAAACACCACAATTCCACCTCTGCCAAACGTTACACTTGGCACATTGCAGTCAGACAGGTAGAGTTCTCCAAACACATACTAATCCATCGGATTGCCGGATGAAGAAGGGCGGTTCGTTACTCCAGAGAACATGTCTAATGCTCTAGAATATAGTGGCACCATGCTTTAAACCACTTCATCCGACTGCTTTCATCGTGTTTGGTGATGTAAGGCTTGGATGCACCTGCTCAATCATGGAAACCCATTTTATGAAGCTCTCTATGCTATTGGAAGGTCACACAAAGTTTGGAGGTCTATATCAGAAAGTTGGCGACCTGTGCACACTGTGCACCTGATGAACCTGTGCTGTGATTTCACATAAAATACCATTTCGTGGCCGAGTTGCTGTCATTCCCAATCACCTGGATTTTTTTAAAATCACCTGACTGTAGAATATTTACCAATGAGAAAATTTTATGACTGGACTTGAAAATTGGCATACTATTACGATACCACGCTGAAATTTACTGAGCTCCTAACAGTGACCCATTCTTTCACAAATTTTTATACAAGCAGTCTGTATACCTAGGTGCTTGATTTCATACACCTGTGGCCATGGAAGTGATTGCATCTTCTGGATTCAATGATTTTAGTGGGTGAGTGATATATATCAATAGCAACATATCCTTCAAGCTTAGGCCTCTACCAGAAACCTGGGAGTTTTGAGCATCCCGTGAAGTATCTTTGCTGTTCCTACAACTGTGCTCATTTGGTAATCTCAGATGACTATCCAGGAATGACATTGTGATCCCCTAACTGGCTGTCACCTTCCGCATCTTCCACCTTCCCCATTATCTTCACCTTCTACATTGTCTCTAGCCCTTGTGAGCCCTTGGTATTAATTTAGCTTCTTGTGTTCCAATCTTTCTGATCTTTCTATAGCTTGGTTTTGCTACATCTATCACTACGGCCGCCTTCTTCTTACAGGATGCCCAACACTACAGTGTCTGATTGGTTAGCCATCACCAGTTTGTCTGTCTGTAAGGACGTCACACGGGAACTTAGCTTGGTCATTCTCAACAACTTATAGCGGCATATACCATTTTGACCTCCAGGCCACACTCAGGATAGATATTTCAGTACCCTGTGCCAGGCACTATGTTATGGCGTATCTCCAACCTTGGTGAGCCTGTTCTAATAAAGAGTCTCATTTATTAGTATCTCTGTGGAAACATTCTTGGAAAAATGACAACTTCACAGTAGTCAGATACCTTCAACATGTATCATCATCATCACCGTATCATCACAGTGTCCATTCATACATCATTAAAATCTGAAAATGCTTTTTGAGATGTTTTGTTTGTGAAACTGATGGTTTTAATGTTAATATATATCAATGTCATTTTCAGTATTCACAAAAAGGCACTACATGTGTACAGGTTGTAATAAAATAAGTTTATACAGTGCTGTTGATTCACACTTTTCTGAACTCATGCTTTTTCCTCACACTTTACTTAATTCATTAGAAATAGATGGAGGTGTGAAATGCATGTGTACATATTTATTACTGAATATGGAAATGCTTTTCAGTATTTTAGTATTCAAGATTATTTTTAATCAATAAAGGATCATTTAAAACTTTTATTGCGTGCACTTTGTCTTATTTCTGCAAAGCATGTTATAAATCATCTAAAATAAAGTTTTAGTGAAAAAACCTGAAACAAACTCACCATGAGAAACTCTGACCAGCAGCACCAGCAGTCCAACCACAGCTTTCATGCCTCCTCTCTGTTACGTGTCTGTCACCCAGTCAGCAACAGCGTGCAATGCATCTTGTTAAAAATCAGTAACACAGAACAATGTGTGAAAACGTTAACCAATAAGAACATTCCTATAGTCATATTAACTGAGGAGCTGTCATTTTACTTCTGCTTTCAACATTCAACAACTGGACATTTCTGAGCTAAAGAAAGGGGAAACATATCTTAAGTACTGAAACAGAGAGCTGATCTTTGTAAGACAAAATTGTATAACCACAGCCACATCTGTTCTGCATATGTTTGAAGCGTGCCGTCACCTTAATTTAATCATAAAATCATTACAGTTGTTTCCAAAAGTTTTGTCAGTGGCACACATTTTGTGTTCCTTGCTTGTTACTCAGTCTTTAATTAGATTGCTGGTCACATATTTATGTACATGTCACCATGATCTTCCCCTCTTGCGCCTGTGGGTGGTCTATCCTTCAAGCTCGCGTCCTCTACCAGAGGCCTGAGAGCTTGAGGGTCCTGCACAGTGTCTTAGCTGTTCCCAGGACTGCGCTCTTCTGAACAGAACTGTTGTTCCTGGGATCTGCTGGAGCCACTCGCCTAGCTTGTGGGTTATTGCACCGAGTTCTCCGATTATCACTGGGTCCACTGTTACCTTCAACCCTCCACATCTTCTTGAGCTCTTGTCTGAGCCCTTGGTACTTCTTCAGCTTCTTGTGTTCCTTCTTCCTGATGTTGCTGTCATTCAGTATCACTTTGTCTTTCACTACAGTCGTCTTTGTCTGCTTGTTTACCACCACTATGTCTGATTGATTAGCCATCACCAATTTGTTCATCTGTACAAGTCCCACAGGGTCTTAGCTCAGCCATTCTCCACCACTCTCGCTGGTGTTTTTCATTTTGACCTCAGGACTTCCAGGCCATACTCGGCACAGATGTTTCTGTATACTATGCCGGCCACGTGGTTATGGTGTTCCATGTATGCCTGCTTGCATCTTGGACAGGAACATCTCTAAAAAGCCTGCACCTGGGGTCTTGCATGGTGTGATAGACCCCAGCCTCTATGGATCTTAGAGCTTGTTCCTGAGCTGCCATGATTAGTGCCTCTGTTCTGTCTTTCACTCCAGCTTTGTCTAGCCACTGGTACGATTTCTGTATGTCAGCCACTTCCTCTGTCTGTTGATGGTACATACCGGGCAGGGGCACCGTCCTTCCATGATGGTTCCTCCTCTTTCTTGGGTTTCTGCTACCTGAGGTATTTGATGAACATTGTGGATGTTTGTTGTCTCATCCTGGACAACAGTTGCCTCTAGGTGTTTTCTATTGTGAGGAAAATACCCAAGAAAATTACAAATAAAACAGCCAAAACTCTAACAATCATGTGACCCTCTATGAGCAAGCACTTTGGAGACAGTGGGAAGGGAAAACTCCCTTTAAACAGGAAGAAACCTCCAGCAGAAGTAGGCTGAGGGAGGGGTAGCCATATGTTATGACAGGCTGGAGTTAGGGGATGAAACCAGAACAAATAACATACTCTGGAAGAGAGTCAGAGATAAATAATAACTGACTTCATCCAGAGAGATGTAAAAACACATAGTGGGGAAAAAAAGAGAGCCCAGAGATTAATAACAAGTTTTCTGGCTGTATTTGGTTATCAATACAATGGTAACTCAAAGTCTAGAAAACCGAAGATTTGTGTTTTTAAGTGGCTCTTAGCTCATTCCAAGTGCAAATAAATTAACAATATGTTTAACACCTTCCCCAGAATGACTATAATGAGCAGTTTGACAGTGCTCAAATACAAATTAGTATAAACAGCTATCACTGATGTGATGATTATTTTAATCTAAATCAAAATCAGAATATTGGTCACTCTGTCATTTTCAATGAAGAACAGAGACAGCATGACATATTCAATGTTCAAGATCCAAGACATTTTTTGTCACCACAAAACACAAATAGTTACGCTGAGCATGAAATTCTTACTTTGCAAGTTCCCTTCATGCAACTGAATAAACAACTAATTAACCCCCCCCCCAAAAAAAAAACCCCCACTCTAACTCTAAGCATAGAAAATAATGAATAAGCGCAAGTAGTTATGCAACACTGTCACAGTGTTAAGATATTCAGAATGTACAAATATTAGAATTGTTTATTTTGTATGAAGTTGTATTATATTTTATATAAATGTTCAAAATTGCAAATTTACAGGTCAGGTTATTGAGGCAGATAATCACAGTTCAATAATTTGTTAGTGAACAACAATTAGTCATGATTCAGTAACCTGCGGATAGAAACTTTTTTTTAGTCTGGTTGTCCTCTCTTTCAAACTCCTGTAGCGTCTGTGTAAACAGCGTGTGCTGTGGGTGGGTGCAGTCCCCAATGACATTGTCTGCCCTTTTTTCTGACCTGGGTGTTGTAAATGTTCTTGTAGTGGTGGGAGGGGTACGCCACAGATGAATTGTGCCATTTTATTGACACACTGGTGAGCATTCCTGTCCTTAATGGTGCTATTCCTGTACCACACTATGATGGAGTTTGTGACTCATTGTTGAGTCTTCTTAATAATCTCCCGTGTGTTATGGGTCCAGTTGAGATCCTCACTGATGTGGGTGCATTGAAATTTGAAGGTGTTCCCCCTCTCCACCTGAGTCTCGTTGATGTATAGTGGGGCATGCTGGTCACTCCTCATTCTCGGGTCAACAATCTTCTCCTTAGTCTTCTCGGCATTTAAGGAGAGATTGTTTTCCAGCCACCAGGACACAAGTGTTGGCAGCCTCCTCTCCACCAGTGATCATCCCGAAGATGGTTGTGTCGTCAGTGAACTTAATGATGGAAGTGTTGCACAGGAAGGGAATGGAATAGGTGAAGAGGGTGTACAGGAGTGGACTGAGCACACAACCCTGGGGGATCCCTGTGCTTACTGTCTTTGTACCTGATGTCCTGGTACCAACTCTAACTGCCTGAGGTCTGCCTGTGAGGAAGTCCAGGACCCAGCGACAGTGGGAGGGTGTCAGTCCAAGAGTGAAGAAGTTTCTTTTATTACAATTGAAGTGATTGCGATGGGGCGATAGCCATTCGAACAGGTTAGGTTGTTCTTCTTGGGGAAGGGAACTATGGTGGTGAACTTGAAGCATGTGGGCACAGCTGACTGGGTGAGGGACACATTAAAAATGTCTGTAAACACCTCAGTCAGCTCTGAAGAGCAGACCCACAAAGCAGGGCCGGGGATGTTGTCAGGGCCAGCTGCTTTCTGGGGGTTAGTCCTCATCAGAACCTTGCATACTTCAGTCAAAGTCACAGTTAGTGAGGAGTAGTGATGTGTTGGTTACATATATATATATATACATATGAGTGTTTGTGTATAAATACACAAACAAAAGACATATGCTGTGTAATTTAAGTGATCTAGGTAGCTCTGTTTTGGAAGTTCAGTTAATGCTAGCAATGTGTTTTGGTGTTTTGTTTCTAGGGCCTACTGTATATATTTATATATAAACGTATATAAATAAAACCACATTTTTTTTACATTAGTAATTCCTTTTCTGCATAATTTTATATGGTTTTTGATAATAAATTAATTAGACCAACAAAACAACCTGAAGAGCCAGTTGGGAGCCGAAAGAGCCGGTTCTCTAAAAAGAGCCGGAATTCCCATCACTAGTGAGGAGCTCTGTGATGCCTCTACTGGTAGAATCCCTCTATGTTGGCTGGTGTTGAGGGTGTCGAAGTGAGCGTAGAACTCACTCAGCTCATCTGGTAGGGCGTTGCAGCGGACTGTGACCCTGCTGCTACTCTGTTGGAAATCAGTGATGTGTTGCAAGCCCTGCCACATGCATCAGGAATCTGAGTTGTTGTAGTATCCTTCCAGTCTCAATCTGTACTGCCTCCTGGTTTCCCTGATGGCCAAGGCCATATCTGTCCTTTCTTGAAGCCTTCTGCATCAACAGATTTATTATAATTTATTTATTTATAGAAATAGCTATAATATGGTGTAATATGGAGATTATAGCATAAATTGTAGATCCACTAAAGGCTTAATTTCCAAATAGGAAAAAACAACAACTATTTTGTATGATTTGTGGAGGCAAAAGAGGAATAGGATAGGAATAGGATCCCAGAAAGTCCAGGAAAAAACATGCAGTGAAAAAAAGAGCAGATAATAGCAGGAATTAATTGAAGACAGAGGGTATAAATACAAAAAAGTAATGGGGGAAGATGACACGGAAGAGAAACTATGACACAGCTGAAAATAATCAAGAGAGAAGAAGTAAAACTAGACATGAGACACAGAAGATGACCAAAGAAATAAAACAAGAAGTGAATCAAAACCAAAGCTGACACACTGAACACAGGTGAACTTCACAGAAAGAAAACACAAAATAAATAAAGAAAACCAGCAATTTCAACAAATACAAATCAAAACTAGACAGACAGACAGATAGATAGATACATTTTACATGGAACAAGTTTATACAAGAAATTGTAAGTAATAACAGACTCTACAAGAATTAATACAAGAACCAATTAAAAAAAATCACCCATAATAAAAAACTAAAATGATAAAATAACATATAAAGCAACAGATGAAACAGTTCATGCTGTCTTGGTTGGGCGGAGGGAGCAAAGACAGATAGAAACAAGACATTCAAACAAGAGGGGAGCAAAAGAGTAAGGACATGAAGGCTGGGAGAGATCAGGGGATTTAGGAGACACTTTGGGTGGCTGACCTTGACGAGGAGCAAGGTCAAGGGAATGTTCTGGGGGTCAGCTGCCAGTGAGTTTCAACACAGACAAATTTTAAAATGTTTGAGGAAAAAAAAAGACATTGCAGCAAATTCAAAGCAACAAACGCAACTCATCATGAAGTATTTTTATTAGTATTTTAATTGTGGAATTTAAAAAATTTAAATTTTCTTTTGATTAAATCTGCAGTCATAAATGCAAAGAACACAATTTCAGGCTCTTTTTTGGATGTTGACTTTTGTTTCCTTCTTTGTTAACATGATGCCACACTGCTTCAGTAATGTTAAGGTTCAGGTTCTGGTTCCCTCAGCCCTAGCTTTAACAAGGCTGAAGGGACAATGCAGAGTACTTGATTACCAGTCAAAGGTTCGGATACACTTTCTCATTCAATGCTCTTGTTTTTTTTGTTGTGTTTTTTTTTTCATCACACATAGCACAGTAAGTATATAGTATCTACTATACTATACTATACATATACTAGTATATGTACATATATATATATATATATATATATATACACATACATATGCACACTGCAAAAAACGTGGGAAAGAAGAAGCTGCGGTTATTTTGTCTCTGCCCTTGCTTTTGCTTCCTATATCACCTTTCCACATGTGTCTATTTTCAAGAATCTAAAACATGCTTTGGGTTAGTTCACTTTTTGTTTACTGCTTAATTCCATATGTGTGAAAATAAAGAAAAACCTTTAAATGAGACTGTAAGTGTATACATACATGGCTTAATATTTCTGCATTCCTGTGTTTGTAAAATAAATTAAAAACAAAAAAAAATCTGAAACAAAACGGGGGAAAGAAGAAGCTGATGTTATTTTGTCTCTGCTCTTGGTTTTACTTCCTTTATCACCTTTCCACATACAGTTTGTGAACACCGACTGATGTGTAGTATCAGTCATTTCTTTTATTTATGCTGCAAACTGTATGAACACACTCTGAACAGCAAGAAGACATGGTAGCTGTGCTTGGATTGGTAGTGATGTTGCTGGGTTTGTCTCATGGTGAGTTGAAAACAGTCGAGGAATTGTTTTTTTTTGTATTTCTTTTAAAATAAATTCAGGAACTGTTGAATACATCTGCAGTTTAGGAATGTTTTAATATAGAGCATGTTCATTTTCTTTTCCTTCATTTTCTTTCTTTTTAGTTAATTTCATTTAATTCCTTTTTTTCTTTATTAACACTTTTAATTATAATAGGAAACGCTGACATCACTTCATGTGAACAGCACTTTCAGGAAACATAACAACTATGTTGGATTTTCTTAAGCTGAGACACGACTATTGGACCCCATGTTTTTAGGGCTACAGTGCCAATTAAAATATTTTCATGCAGTTCATTATTTTATTTTATTTTATTTTATTTTATTTTATTTTATTTTATTTTATTTTATTTTATTTTACTTTTTTAACAATTTTAATAGGATGTCACAATTTATCTTACACTACCTAATACGGAAACGTGAATTTCTTGGGAATTTAAGTTGTCAGTTTCAAAAACCTCTTCTAGTATCATTAATATAATGGTTCTCTCTCTTCCTCTCAGTTCTAACACAGTAATTTACTTTTCTTCAAGGCTTGAACCCTAACTATGTTTCAGTCACAGACATGCCTGCATCAATAAATGTATCTTCACAAAAATACAGACAGGCAGTAGCCACAAAAACACCATTTCTGTTTTCAGTAAACATTTGTCAGTGCTGCCAGTCCATTGTAATAATTTTGCTTTTCGTGTCCTTTTTTGTGTGTTTGCAGGTGTGGAAACTCACTGTGATGGCAGACAGGATGGAGCTCAGTGTTATGGAGCTTTGGGAGGAAGTGTGGACATCCAGCTGATGGACAGCACTTCAAAAATACCTCGATACCAACTGTTAAAGAATTCATTAAAAATACTAGATGTGAGAAAGAAAAAGATTCTTTCTAATGTATTACAAAATGGGTCTCTCTTTTTTCCCAGTAATAGAACATTTAGGCTCAATTATCTGAGCAGGGATGACAGCGGTAATTATAGCCTTATAACATTTAATTCAGATGGAAAAGCATCAGACGAGCAGACTCTATACTTGTTTGTTCAAGGTAATGTTTTCCTTGTTTAGAAATACAGTAAAGCCATTAATAGATATGAAACAGAAAATTCAGATACATGTATTGTATGATTTATGTTTGTTCCCCATTAAAGAGAAACAAGAATGACCTAGATTCTGATTTAAAATCTAAACTCATCTGTGTGTGTTTCTCTCAGCTCCTGTGTCCTCTGTCCTGCTGCTCTCTGAGTGTCTGTCCCAGGGAGAGATGAGGGTGTCCTGCTCCTCTGAGGGAGGGGACAGTCCTCAGTACAGCTGGACTCTGGATGGACGCACACTGACAGATGCTGAGCTCTTTTCTGTAAATAATGAGAGTAACACCATCACTCTGAAACAGCACGTCTCAGGACGTCTTGTCTGCTCAGTCAGGAACAACGTCAGTAATGTCTTCAAAGAACAGAAGATATCTCCCTGTGGTGAGTGAGAACACTCTGAATTTTTATTACCATTACCTGGGCCCCAGTTACCTGCGCCTTCTTTAACGCATCTTTACTTAACGACATTCAGTAACCACAAAAGCACCAGTTATGTTCTAGATAAACATTTTCATATGATTCTTGTTGTCTGTCTCTCTAATTTATACACATATTTCACAATGGAATTTCATTTTAACTGGAACATTGAAGCCACATTTTTAAAGGTGTTGTAAAGAACAGAAAGTGTTCTGACTGTGTGTGTGTGTTTTAAAAAAATACATCTTCAGTTACTAACAAAGTAACAAAAATTAAAAAAAAGTTAAATGGCAGTTACAATACCATCTATGATTTTATTGATTTATTGTGGCACCATATGTCTACCCAAACAGTGAAATATTCAGAGGTCCATGCTACTCATGTGTGCAACAATAAAGGCATCTTCACAAAAACACAGACAAACAGTAGCTGCAATAACAACATTTCTGTTTCAGGTAAACATTTGTTAGTGCTGCCAGTCCATTCAAATAATTTTGCTTTTGTTTCCTTTTTTTGTGTCGTTGCAGGTGTGGAAACTTACTGTGATGGCAGACAGGATGGAGCTCAGTGTTATGGAGCTTTGGGAGGAAGTGTGGAGATAAAGCTGATGGACAGCACCGCAAAAATACCTCGATACAATTTGTTAAAGAATTCATTAAAAATACTAGATGTGAGAAAGAAAAGGATTCTTTATAATATCATAGAACATAGATTTCTGCTTTTTCCCAGTAATGGAACACTTAGGCTCAATTATCTGAGCAGGACAGACAGCGGTAATTATAGCCTTAAAAGCTTTGATTCAGATGGAAAAGCATCACATGAGCGGACTCTACAATTGTTTGTTCAAGGTAATGTTTTCCTTGTTGTGAAATGAAGCCATTAATAGATATGAATATAACTTTAATATTGTTGAAGTAATCCATATCTTTCCATACATGTATTTTACGGTTTATACATATTTTTCCACTGAAGACTATAAAGAATGACTGATTTAATTCTGCAATGTCGATTTGAAATCTAAACTCATCTGTGTGTTTTTCTCAGCTCCTGTGTCCTCTGTCCTGCTGCTCTCTGAGTGTCTGTCCCAGGGAGAGAGGAGGGTGTCCTGCTCCTCTGAGGGAGGGGACAGTCCTCAGTACAGCTGGACTCTGGATGGACGCACACTGACAGATGCTGAGCTCCTTTCTGTAAATAATGAGACTAACATCATCACTCTGAGACAGCACATGTCAGGACATCTGGTCTGCTCAGTCAGGAACAACGTCAGTAATGTTTTCATAGAACACAGGCTGTCTACCTGTGGTGAGTGAGAACCTTATGAATAAAAGTTATTAAGCACAAATTAAATTTTTATGGTTATTGTGTCTTGAACTGTTTGTTTGTTGGATCATACTATGCTTCATTTTTTTCTTTATTAACTGCAGCTCTGTCAGTGGGATACAGACATCAGGGTAGGTACATGAAAACAATGTACATTGAACCAACAGCAGACCCATCTCTGCCTAACATGTGATTTTGGTGTCTCTGAACAGATAAGTCCTTGCTTATATGTGGTTTGCGAGCAGTTGTGGTCATTCTCTTGCTAATTGGGATTCCCATCTACTTTGCTTGGAAGAAAAAGAAACATGCCAAAGCTGAAGTCTCTGCTGTTCCACAAACAAGAGGAGATCCAGAGGATTCTCTTCTGATGGTTGAAATGAGTTCTGCAACTTACACCAACACCTAGTTTCACCTTTTACTTGCTGTTATTTATCTTTGGTTCACAAGCATGAAAATAGCATTTAGAGAGAAATTCTTCTGCTCTTTTTATTCCCCACAAATTATGATGAGAAGCTCTGTGGTTTCTGGGTTTTACATTTTTTAAATACAAAATCTTTACAATTCTTAAACAATAAAGTCTTGAATTAAGTTTACTTCATGTGTCAGTTTTTTTTTTAATTTTCTGCAAATGAAGTTACTGAGAGAGGAGAAGGGGAAGCAGGAGATTTATAAATGAACTGGGGCAACAACAGCAGTCATGCAGATGCTGCACTGGTCCATTGAAGAAAGAACTGAGAGAATAAGAGCTTTAGATTCATGTTCCTAAGATCACCAATTGTCATGAGCTCTGGTTAATGACTGAAAGACTGAGATCACAAATACAACCCAAGGCAGGAGATTTTTGTCATTTTAGACTCCTGGGTCCCATCTGGGCAATGTTTACATTAAATTCAAATGCAGGTCACATGCACTTTGTGGAAAAACAATGTGATCAATGCTTACGTGGCAAAATAATCATGAAATGCATCTTGGTGTATATCTTTTAATTCTTGTACAGTGATAACATAAAACCATATTAACTGAACTTATCACTGTTTCATAATGTGAAATAAGTTTTTAGACATACTGGACAATGTATTTTGTGGATGGTGAAAACTTCTATATTTGGAGTTTTATTATTTGATTTTTAAAACATAAATAGGGGAAAGTGGGGTGGGTTTTTACTTAAAGTAAAAACTGGCACAACTCACTTTAAGATTTTGCTTAAAGTGAGGCCATGATAGTAATGCTTCCAACTAAAACATGTTCAGGATGTTGTGCATGCTTGGGAACAATCACTTTGGATCTGAAATATATAGTTGTGCCACAAGTGCTCTTGTGGCACAACTTGACCCCGATGCAGGGTAAGTTGCATCTTTGGAGAGAATACTTTGGGGTAAATTGAGCTAGCATATTTTGATCTCAGAAACTGTAATGCTATATAAGCTAGACAAATTTAACATATTTAAAATTATTTTACAATATCAAAGGCCAATTTTATACAAGCCACACGAGCACATCGAAAGTCAGTTTTCTTAAAAATGGCCAAGGACCAAATGAACTTGTTGAAGCTACCCACTGCTGTACCTTCTGGATGTACCACCAAGTTTTTGTGGTGTGGGTAGTTGTTTTTTTATGCACATCTTCTCGAGGGATGACTCTGTCACAATTGTCTTTGAAAGTGAAGATGGGCTTTCCATTCACAATCCCATTACTACTTCACCTTAAACACTTTGCACCAGTGTCAGTCAGCACCATCAACCAATCCATGTAGTTGTAGGATTTGATTTTGCCTGCAAACGTCATAATGACAAACACAATTACTTTCAATTATATGTCAAGCTATACACTCTAAATAAGTACCCAACTTTACTTCTTTGTGAACTATCTGCATTTTAATAACTGATAATGAGCATTTCCAGGGGAAATAATTATTGTTTCCTATATCCTTTTCCTTAAATGGACACTTAACCCAACCTGCCTCTGATATCCCTGCTAGCTGGATCAAAATGTCATTTCTTTGTGCATATTCAAATACCATGAACTGGATTTTGAGTATGCACAAAGTAACGAACACATCAATGCTGCTAGTGCCTTCATATGTTCTGCCAGCTCTCTCTCCATAACACTTGATTGACAAGTCCAGATCTTTTATATCCTTTTATAGCCTTATGTCTCTTCCATCTATCTTTTTCTTCTCCACATATTGTTTTAATGTCATCATGAATATGTTCATCTTCCTCGCCACTTGATGAATGGACTTCCCCTTCTCACATCATTCACTCTGTCCATGTCCTGTAAAGGAGTGAAAGCCCTGCCTGTCCTCCCTATTATGACTCAATGGCATGATGGTCTATTTCTATTTTTGGTCTGAAATAAAGAATGTCACTGTGAAAAACGGTAAATAATAATAATAATAAAAAATAATCAATAAAATAATATATTTAAAATATTCACAAGTTGGGCACAAAGCACCACACCATACAGACTCACAGTGTAGCTTACCAAAGCACTAAAACATTTGTGAAATGTTTTTAAACCTGTCTGTAACTGTTTTGACAAAACAATCAAAAAACTTTGATCACAGAAATTTTACCTTGAAAGGCAAAAATCGTTTTTGAACTTAAATATTCTGATGCAATGAGGTTCTCTTATTTGCAGGATTAGTAAAATGGCTGACTCTTCAACAATGTGCAGTCACATGACTGATTTCTTCTATGGTTCACTAGAAACAAGGGGTACAAATCACCCTCTTTCTCATATTGTGGGAATAGCAGCATGACAATTTTCAGTATTTTTTACACAATGTCGCCCTCTAGTGGGAAAGGTTTGGACTTTATCATTGCTTCGTTACACTGTCCTTGCTTTTATTGTATTTTCCTTCACAAAAGACTTTACACTAATGTCAAGAACTTACAGTATTAAAGAAATCCACCAGTACAGCAACATTTTCCCATACCAAATAGTTTGAAACTACAGTACATTAAACCTTAACAAAATAAAAGTACAGTGAAGTACATACTCAGTCCATGCTTAACAGGTTTGTGTATCTGATTTTATTTTTTAATTTTACAAGCAGAACGAACTCAGTGTCTCATATTTATTTCTGTGCTATTGTGATAGCGTGATGGCTGTGGAAGCTATAGCTCTGGCAACTGTGTTGAAAAAACAATAACTATTATTCATTTTTATTTTTACTTATTTAT